ATGTATGTATGTATATATATGTATGTATGTATGTATATTTAGTCACCACAAGTTGTCATAAGAACACCAACATAAAACAGTCGAAAACATTAAATTAATACAAAAACATTTAGCAACATTAAATAGTAATCACTATTAATCATGATTACTTCGCTTCTTCCTCTCTTCTCCTCCAAGAAGTTCGTCCAAAACCCTATCGTCCAAATACTCAAACTCGAACACTTCCCCCTCGTTTTGTCGAGACCCACCAGACGAATTTGAACCGGAAGACATGTAATTAAAGGAACTCGAAAACGACGAAGAAGAAGAAGAAGCATGAGGGAGGGGAGGGCGAGGAGAATAATCGGCGACACGAGAATAATACTCGTTGGGGAAGTTGAGTATAGCAAGATGGCCCCTTAGGTTAAAAGCCGCTCGGTCATAAGCACGTGCGGCATCTTCAGCTGTATCGAACGTACCGAGCCAAAGCCGCGAACCGTTCCTCGACGGATCACGTATCTCGGCTGCATATTTTCCCCACGGACGCCTCCTCACGCCACGGTATCGAGCTTGACGGTCTTCTTGCTGGTTGTTGTTGTTGTTGCTCCTCGTGCTTGAACCCTCCATCACTTGAGAAGAATTTTCAGATAAGATAGAAAAGATTATTACAGAACAAGAGATAGATTAATCTCTTGTGTTTGATGGATTCTTGTTTTTTTTTTGGGTTCAAGATTGGTTTTGTTGTGTTGTAAGAGAAGTTTATGAAATGTCGTGCGCATTTTATAAGGTTATTGGAAGAAAAATTTCAACCGAGTCAGATTCGACGGTCGTTTTCGTGTGATTTGAAGATTCGTGGGGTTGACTTCTTCATTCTTTTTTTTTCCCCCTTTTGATAAATCTTGTTTTCTTGTCCTTTGTACATGCATGCATGCATGCATGGTTGTTTCCAGGAAGTTTCCATATATTGCAAAAATCCATATATGTTTTCTCATGCAACATATACGTGTAGGTATACATATATAATATTATATACACATATATATACAATTTGTAGAGAAAATGATATATAGTGCCATATGCATGTATGGAATTATATATGTGAATACATTCATTCATGATATAGAGTTATTCTTTAACACCCCAAACATGTAATAGGTTCTTAAACATCTATATTCTTGCTCCACATAAAAAAGCATCTTATAACCAAGAATCAATGACCGCCCCCATTAGTCCAAATCATCCAACGATCAAACTAATGAAAAAAAAATATGTTGTTTTAGGGTTATATGAGATTAAATTGAAAATATGAATTTCACCAAAAAAAAAATGAAAATATGAATCTTATAGACATTACCTTCCTTTAATTCTTTTCTTGGACGCAGAAGAATTTTGTCTGAAAAAACACTAAAATTTCATTTTTTTAAGATAAATTATCCAAGGCACCACCGGATTTATAAATTATTTAAATATTAAAAGCCAAATCCTAATAACATGGTAAAAATATTTTTCCACATTAAAACTCTAATTAGATTCGGAAACTTATTTAATGGATTGTTAATTTCAATAACTAAATCTCCTTGATCCATTAATGAGTAAAATCTCCTTGCATGTTTCGGTAAGTACGTGGATATATATATATATATACATATATATACATACACCCCATATGTCTTTATAGGCTTTATATATTATCTTTTTTTCTTTGGGATATGATTCTGATTTTGAGCAAATGGAATGATAGATTTTGTTCGAACTAACAGTTGATCACACACGAGACTTCCTTTAAGCATTCCTCTTTTAGGTTTGATTTTTAATACCATTATTTACACCCCTATATATCCATATATATATAACACATATGTGTGTGTGTGTGTGTGTTTGCGCGGGAGGAATTAATATAATCAAACATATGTATTACTTATATATATATACACACACACATATATGTGCCACTGCTCTTGTCCGGATATATTAGTCATTTATTGTTGAGTGTGTGTATATATATATATTATTTTTTACCAAAAAAAAAATCTAACTGTAGTTGGAACATTATTTGGTACGGAATCCAATTTTATTATTTTGTTGGATCTTACAAAATTCTTCTTAACTGCAGATTTAATCTATGTTAAATCTTACTCTATACAAATTTTTAAACTTTATAAACACATGGTTTTATTTTTGAAGTATTACATTTGTATTTTAGATCAAAACGATATTATATTGGTAGAAGGTCCTAGAACTACCTTTTGCAGGTTACTTTTTTTGTTATAATATTTATAAAAGTATTTCGATATTTGTCAAACGATGCCACCTTTTTCTATTTCATTATTTCTTATTTTTCTTGGACTCAATATTCCTTTCCAAAAGCAAAAAAGAATTATATATATATATATATATATATATATATATGTATGTATATATATATATGTGTGTGTGTGTGTGTGTATAGGTAGGTGTCTCTATACTCTTTTTCAACCCATCCATTGATTATTCTAAGAAGCGAATCTAATTCAACAAAAGTAAATTATATACATTATACAATATACACATCAAAATAGTAATACCTTCTTTTTGATTATTTAGCCAGGAAAGGAGATTATTCGGCCTCATAATAATATAATCTATTTTAATAAATCTATTTATTTAATATTAAAGGGAATACAAAAAAAAAAGATGAGACAGGTGGGGGCCCATGGGCCCCCAAAATAACCTAGTTAATAGAGTAAACGTAGTATGTACATACATTTATACCTAATTATTTATAAGCAATACCTATATAGGTATAAATATAATATTAATTTATTTATAAATTAATAAGTTAACATCATGTAATTTCGGCATCTACGCTTTTGCAAAGGGCTTTCAAAAGGAGATAAAAAAAAGCCAATTTTATCTTAATAGATTTGATGGCTTGAATTTATTTTCCTTGGGGCTCAAGGGGGCATGTATTTTGACTCCTTCCAACCAACAATTTATTTTAAAAAATCATATACGAATAAAATATTCCTACGTGTCTCTCTCTCTCTATATATATATATATAAATAATGTATAATAACCTAAGATTGAGTGGTTTAATCGGTAAAAAATAAAACAAAGTTTTTTTTTTTAATTCCGGTTCGAATCTCAACTTAGAGAGAAATATTCATATGTATTTTTTCGATTTAAAAAAAAATGTAAGACGAAAGTCTTTGATAAATTTCTAGATTATAAAAAAATATATAATAAAAAAAAGGAAAACTAGCTTGGTCCTAAGTGTGTAGGATAATGATGTGACGTGGATGAAATGGAACTTGAAACGGCCAAGTGTAAAAACGGTATTTGCATGAAAGGGTATTTCAATGGATTAGGCAGTAATTTCGGATTTTATGGCATAATTATTTTCACATTTAATCGCAAAAGTAAATTATAGACATTATACAATATACACATCAAAATAGTAATACCTTCTTTTTGATTATTTAGCCAGGAAAGGAGATTATTCGGCCTCATAATAATATAATCTATTTTAATAAATCTATTTATTTAATATTAAAGGGAATACAAAAAAAAAAGATGAGACAGGTGGGGGCCCATGGGCCCCAAAAATCAGAGATTCAATATTGGTTGGTTGGTTATGATTTCTAGTTGTCGTCGATTTAGGTGGGCAACACATTGGACCTGGCCCAACTTGGCTATGTCGTTTTTATTTTTTATTTTATTTTTTCACAATTAAATGATTACGTCCTGATTTTCTTTGACCATATTTGTATCCTATTTTTATTTTTTTTGTTCTTATTACTCTTTTATCTCAATAACTAATTATTATTTTCTCGTTAAGAACAGAAAAATATAAATATCTTGAACCAAAACAAACATTAATTTCAGAATCTAAAAACGTCACGTGAGAATTACCTAATGGAGAGAGATCTAATACCGATGTTATCCGGGACCAAAACCAAGAAGATGAAAAATAAACCGTATATAACATCATTAATTTATGGTTTTCTATTTTTAATATATATATATATATATTCTTTTTTTTAATTTATGGTGTTCTTTTATATATATATATAGTTTAGTAGTCTTTGGTCAACATTTAAATTTGACTTGACAGTGTGCAACTTGTTCTAATCCAGTCAGTTTGCTTTGTCACACACAAAAAAGGCATATTGATACACTTACTTCATTAAGTTAGGTTTGGTCCCAAAGTAAAAAAAAGGACGAATCAAATCTTATGGTTAAAGTGAATAACATAATTTACTGTATGCTCAATATTCGATGTATCTATGTGTTTCTGTACTTTTAATTATTTAAAATTGTGATTGGGGAGGTTAATTAGGGAATTAATTAGAGGTTCACTTGCCAAGAACTCATTCACGTCAAATCTTGAAACATGATCACTTCTCAAAATAGACATATATATATATATATATATATATATATATATATATGTATATATATATATATGTATGTACATATGTGTGCTGTGTGTGTGCGCGCGCGATAGACTACGCATAAACTATTTTAAGTTAATTTGTATTCATATAACTTGATAGTAGGGGTGGGCAAAATATCCGAAAATTCGAATCGATCCGTTATTCGATTCGTATCCGAACCGAAAATTCGGATATCCGGAGTTTACGGATCGGATACGGATATTTATTTGAAGATATTTGTCAGATACAGATCGGATACGGATATTAAAATTGAATTATACGACATATCCGATCCGATTCATATTTTGTAATAATATTATTAAATATAAGAATAATTTGGTATGGAGATTTAAAATGCTTAATATTTACATGTTTTTTTAGAGTAATTCAAGAAAAAATTTATATATATTGAAGTTTATAATTTTAATTTTTGAATATTAAAATTTATTATGTTTAATGTTTTGAATTTTGAATTTTAAATATATTTGTATGTGATAGATTATAATTGTATTTGTATTTGAGTTGATTTGAAATGTGTAAATTATGAATTTTAAATTTGTGAATATTATTTATCTTAAATAGATTATATATTTTATTTACGTTTGAATTTGTTATTTAATTTAAATTTAAAATTTTATAATATTTTAGGTCGGATACGGATATCCACAAATATCCGTGATTTTAACGAATATCCGAAGTTGCGGATATCCGAAAATTACGGATCGGATACGGATAACAAAATCGAATACTTATGCGGATCGGATACGGATATGGATATCTCAAAAATCCCGGATATCCGATCCGTGCCCACTCCTACTTGATAGTGTATCATATAATTATGGATAATAATGTTAATCCTAAAAGTTTATCTTGTTTTGTAATTTTTGCAATAATAGTATCGCTATTGTTTGTAGAAATTTGAAGATTAATTTGGAGGATTATATATAAAGAAGATGGTTTCAATTATGGGTGATCGTTGTGCTATTAACCGAATAGTCTAATCGAACCGAACCAAATAATATAATCGTACACAAACCGAATCCGATATAAAAATCGAACGATTATGATTTCTATAAATTGAAACCGAATTCGAATCGGAATAAAAAATAACAAAAATTAATATTTTTTTTATAAACCCTAAACTCTAAACCCCGACCAAAACCCGAAATGATCGGCCCTAGTTTCAATTTCCACCGGAAGTTTTGAAGATATTGGTTAGAAACTTTAGCCATCGGTCTCCTCTCTCTAGACCAAACCCACAGCCATAAAAACCATGATCGCTGACTACGACCCACAAACCCTAAACCTAACCCTAATTTAGTTTTTTTCTTTTGGTAAAGTTTGTGGCAGGATGGATTCGATTATATGGTCGTGGGAAACAAATAAATGCAAAGTTTAATTATGGCTAAGTTGACAATGTATTAATATGGTTTTAGTTAATTAATTATTGACAATCTTCTAGATTCCTTTGAACCCCATAACATTCATGCACCAACATATAGTTCTAATGGACGATCTAAATTACATCATGTAATTTTTAATTTTTTTGTGATCTCTCATATGTAAAAACAAACTAAACAGCAAATTGTTTTTATATTTTATCTCCAAAATATGATTTTCCTTGTAGTAAATATATAGTAATTTTGGCTAATGATACAATAACTATAATTTTATTTATTGGCATCTTAATAATACAATATTAGTGCTCCAAAATTTAGTAGGGGCGAAAGTATATGAGAGTGATATCCAATATTTAACTCGGTCTTCAAGTAAGTCAACAGAGTTGTCCATAGAGACCAATAAACGAGGGGAGAGGTATATCATTCAATTTTGATTTATTTATTTATTTAGGGTTTAGATTTTTCTCTTCATATTTTTAAAATTTACATTATATGTTATATAGTTTTTTTAATCTTTTTTTTTATTATTAAAAACACTCATTTTTTTATTTTTATTTTTAAATTTTATTATGTTTTTAGAATATTGGTTTGAACTTTTAAAACTATATTAACAACTTTTAAATTAAATTTTATTCACAAAAGTTTCAATTTAATTTTGTGTATAAAAATTGGACCATCACAGGACCACGCAGGACAAAATAGTAAAAGGTTTTGTGCGAAGAAGGGGACGTGAGGGGGCTACGGTGAATTAGGCTCCACGCGAATAAATGAATATAATAAATACCGAATTATCGCTTTACATTTCTTTTTATATTTTTATAAATTTATATTATTATCTACACATGATATATTATAGTTACTTACTACGCCTCAAATTCAGCATAATTTTATTTTTAACTGAACACAAAATTACATAAACTATGTTTTTCTTGGGCGGATGAATTAATTACCAGAGTTATTTTGAATATAATGAAAATATTTTAATATATATATATATATATATAATTGATAACAAAACTCTACAAAATATGACTAAATATGACTACGTACCATGAATGTGTAGCTTTCCCCTTAAACCTAACACCTTAGTCAACATATTTACTCGATTGCATTCTTTCCTATGATTGGACTAAATGACTTTTTATTCAATTTTTGCCACTTTTCACTTTTTTTATAAAAAAAAAAATCGCATTATTTATCGCTTCATTAAAATCTATAATTAATTATGCCTCGCCCATCCGCCATCTCTTCTTAGATTTCAGCCCAAATAGTATGTCTGTATTTGTGTTCTATATATTATATACAAACGTCTATATATATACATTGATATTGTGCGTGCGTGTGTGTGAATATATTTATTGGTCTTATACCAATATATGTATATATATATATATATTTATCCGTCGACCGTCTCGGAAATACAATATATGTATGATAGTGGTCACCCATTGGGATTAATATAATTTTTGTTTGCTTTCGATGACGTAATTATGAAAATAAATAAGCAATCGTATCGTGCCATCTTAATATTATTATAATCCACGTAAGACAAACATTTCTGTGGCTAATGGCTATATATTTATTACTAATATTTGTTATATACAAGCCCAAGACCAATTCTTAAGATCAATTTGACCACGTGCTGAAATTGAGATTACAAAGTTGTAACTTTGTTCTATAAAAAAACATTAAAGAATCTTTATAATATTCATTCGTCATCAGCTTGAATGATGTGTTCTTTTCGTTTCCTTGGTTTTTGGTTTAGATTCAAAGTTTTGAAATGCTCTTTTGTCTTGTCCTACTCAGCAGGACTCGTGCGTGACCAATACATATATGTATGTACATATGCTAAAAAAGCGTGTATGTGAAAAAAATTTATATAATTATTTAGTTTTTGTAATGGATTGTGATAATAGAATTGGTTAGATATTTAAAAAAAATGAGATGGACCGTCAAAGATCGGTAATTGCAACGGTTAGTATAGTTTCGTCTCTTTGTCCCCTTGCGAGGTGTAATGGTAAATGACATGAACGAGTCAACTATGGCAAGAATTTAGTTATGTTATATATGTGTAAATTAATATTTTTTTTAAAATAAAAATTATTCAAACCAAATGGATAAAACAAATTTTATCGATATACATGTAGATACGAAAAAATTGGAATTCTTTCATGTAATATACATGAAATTGACATTTAACCTAGTTAATAGAGTAAACGTAGTATGTACATACATTTATACCTAATTATTTATAAGCAATACCTATATAGGTATAAATATAATATTAATTTATTTATAAATTAATAAGTTAACATCATGTAATTTCGGCATCTACGCTTTTGCAAAGGGCTTTCAAAAGGAGATAAAAAAAAGCCAATTTTATCTTAATAGATTTGATGGCTTGAATTTATTTTCCTTGGGGCTCAAGGGGGCATGTATTTTGACTCCTTCCAACCAACAATTTATTTTAAAAAATCATATACGAATAAAATATTCCTACGTGTCTCTCTCTCTCTATATATATATATATAAATAATGTATAATAACCTAAGATTGAGTGGTTTAATCGGTAAAAAATAAAACAAAGTTTTTTTTTTTAATTCCGGTTCGAATCTCAACTTAGAGAGAAATATTCATATGTATTTTTTCGATTTAAAAAAAAATGTAAGACGAAAGTCTTTGATAAATTTCTAGATTATAAAAAAATATATAATAAAAAAAAGGAAAACTAGCTTGGTCCTAAGTGTGTAGGATAATGATGTGACGTGGATGAAATGGAACTTGAAACGGCCAAGTGTAAAAACGGTATTTGCATGAAAGGGTATTTCAATGGATTAGGCAGTAATTTCGGATTTTATGGCATAATTATTTTCACATTTAATCGCGTTATTTTCTTCCTTCAATGATTGCGAGATTGAAATTCTAATACGGATATCCATACACTAAGATTTATCAAGAAGGGTTTATAAGGATAAATATTTTTTATTTTCGGGTTTATAAGGATAAATACGTAGAGTATCATTCCTAATGCTTTATATTATATAAATGGACAAACTACACCATGGTCTAAAATAAATAATTAAGCATGTCACAATAGGCGAAATAATAATATGCAAAATGAAAAGAAGTAATCGATATTATTTAAAATCTGGAAAAAAAATATAGAAATAAATTATTATTCCTCTTTATTTCCGTGTATTATTATTATGACCAAAATATATTTCCAGCTGCATATGAGCGATGACGCCCAGGAGAACACAGAACACAAATTCTAAAGAAACTGACATCATTATATGACGTCAGAGTTACTGACTTGGCGATCATCTGATTGGATGACGATGGATTATTGCCCTGACGTGGGTCCCGCCGTCTATTGTCACGAGATATCCTCATGATTTCTTCCCAAATGAAAATCACAAGGATGATTACCACTATTTTTTTTTTTTATAATCCGGAAGTTTATGGGGTTTTTGATCTGATTATATTTTTTAGAGGATTGGAGAAGTTCAGGTGAATGTCTCTTCCCACGTTTGGATTTGAACCCAGAGTGAGAACATACTTTGGTCATCACTAGATCACTCAAACTTAGGTCAGAACGATGATTATTATATTTATATACTTGCATAAATAATCAAATAAATTGAAGGGTGAAATATATAATTCACATGCACGCGCATATATTTATATATATATAAATATATATAAATTATTATCAACTGCGGAATTTCCAATTGATATTTATGGACTCAAAGCTTAAATAAACGAATTACGAGAAATACTTTACACAAATGTTACAGGTTCAACTTTTGTAATTTTTGTATGTGAAAATATTATCATTCACCCCGACATTTTTCATCACATGATAGATAATATGGACCTATTCAGTAATTTGCAATCTATATCGATACATCTTGGCGATAATCTATATAGCATATATATTATTGTATATATATACAGACACACACACACCCTTTATGGAGAAAAATATCGATTCTATAGAAAAATATGATATTTTCCGCACGTAATTAATTTACATGGAAGTAAGCTGTCTTTTAATTTAGGCAAAAACCCTAATTTGAACGATGGGATGTATTCTCGTTGTTGAAAACCAGTGAATAAATTCGAGGAATGCCCTTATTTACCGACTGCCATACAATAAGTTTTCCATCAATTTTTATAATAAAAAAATAAATTATTGGCTATATATATTATATTTTGGGTAAACGGTATCTTATTGGCTGGAATTTGTATTTATCAAACCGGATAATCTCGTCTAATAAAGAAAACAATAAAAATAAAACATGTAGCAGTAGTTGTTGAGATTTTGTGTGTTTTAAAAAAAAATAAATCGAAGTGTACAAGGAAAAAAAAAGAAAGTGAAGACTGTCTTTTATTCGAAGCTTCGGGGAAGCAGAAGAGTTGTGAATGGGCCTCTAACCTAAAATCGATTAAATTCATTTCATTTCCAATTTCCATTACAAAGTATTATCACTTATTATTAACAACTAATTTACCATTTTACCCCTCAACACCCTCACGTGACCGCAAAACCTCGTGTCCCTTTTCGGACATTTTCTCCCGCACGCCCGCTCGATCTCTATATATATAGACGTCGTCGACCAGACCAGACCGAAGAAACAGAGGAAACAGAGCAGTGTAAACAAGAAAAAAACACACAAATGGATCCGTCTTTTCTCTGGCCGCCGATCTCCGGATTCTCGCCGGAATATTCCCTCGAATCTCCGCCGGAATCTTACTCCTCCTCTCCTTCTTCTTTCAACAACTACTCTCTCCCCTTCAACGAAAACGATTCTGAAGAAATGCTTCTCTACGGCCTAATCGAGCAAGCGGTTC